GGGGGGGGGGGGGGGGGGTTGGGGGCGAGCGAGGATACGACGAGTGAGTGGTGTTTTCCGTGTTTTTAGGGTGTTAGCCAAAAGCGTGGTGATGGTGTAGTGGTCGTGTTGGTGGTTGTAGCGCTCTGTCGTGATAAGGGTCAATTTTGGACGTTTCGATTGATGCCCGGCGTGATTCCAACGGCGTGGTGTATCCGGGCGAACTGCCCCTCTCGTACGGGATGGGCTACGGACGAGACACCTACGGCCCCCATACTCAAATATCAACGAAGGGAAACCCGCCCGAGAAAACCGAGGGCCCACAAGAACAGTGCCACGATACTTGCATTACGTGAACGAACGTGCAATCTACTTTATTCCTCGCCATCGTAAGGAGAGCTACTTACAGAGAACATGTTGGGTGGAGGGTGTTGCTGGCTGCCTTCGTACGCTTGAGCATGGTGCGCCCTTCCTTGTGGTACGGTAGGATAAAATGTATCACGAAACAAGTGAAACTGTGACATGTATCACGAAACAGGTGAAAGTGTGGTAAGAGGGAGGCGTCCTCGACAGACGGGGAGATTCTACCGTGTGTACAGGGGATCTCACGAAACAAGTGAAACTGTGACGTATCACGAAACAGGTGAAACTACAGTTGTGGTAAGAGGGAAGCGTCCTCGACAGACGGGGAGATTCTACCCCGTGTACAGGGGATCTATTGCAATATGCCCGCCCTCACTTTATCTCTTGGTTGGTAGGAGCAAGAAAGAATGCACGGTTTGCCAGAGGGCAGGTTGTGGGTGGGTTGTGAGCATCCACAAGGTAGGGGCAGGTTGTAGAGGGGGGGATGGGAGGAGGCCCCAACCTTGGCCAAACGGCTTGCTTGTACAAGGATGGATGCGGAAAGTTGGGAGGCAGCCACAACGTCAGGCCACACCTCTTGGATGTGCAAGCACAGATCACACAGGTTGGGGGGAAGCCACAACCTTAGGTCAGACCTCCTGGTTGTGAAAGCACCGATGATACAGGTTGGGAGGCGGTCACAACCGAAGGCCAGACCTCCNGATGGGAGGAGGCCCCAACCTTGGCCAAACGGCTTGCTTGTACAAGGATGGATGCGGAAAGTTGGGAGGCAGCCACAACGTCAGGCCACACCTCTTGGATGTGCAAGCACAGATCACACAGGTGGGGGGGAAGCCACAACCTTAGGTCAGACCTCCTGGTTGTGAAAGCACCGATGATACAGGTTGGGAGGCGGTCACAACCGAAGGCCAGACCTCCTGGCTCTAAGATTGTGTCAGTTCGACGGTCCGGGATAACTGGACTTGTAGTCTACTTGATTTTTTTTTCCGGCTGGACTAAAACGCAACAAATTCGTCTCCAACACAGGTATGTAGATATACGAGTGTGTACGGGGATTCACGAGTGCTAGACTATGTGCGTACCAGCTACAGGGTACAACAAACAGCAAAGCTCTCCATCTCAGATCCCCGTTTTGCATCTCGCCAGACAGATGGTAAGAGGGGGCGGGGGACATCCGAACCAGCGAGCTCCCTGCAGAAATGGCTTCGTTTGGCCCTGCATCGCCCTCGTGTGACCGGCTAGCTCGCCTTGACACAGGCGACTAGAGGCCGTAGCATGCCAAGGCGAATAGCGACCAGTCTGGTGTCATTCCTTTCGTAACCAAGGCAAGCAGCTACTATATATATATTTTTTTTTTCTCCCGTCATTGGACTCTGTCGCCTGCCCCTCTGGCCCTTATCCTCTACTTCTAACATCTAGATGATCCAACCGGGGTCACATAAGAGGGGGGGGTTGGACCCCCTCCTGCCGTTCCTGCCTGAGACATTTTTATCGCGAGAAGGGTACAGCAATCCCTTCCCTCGCGACTTCCGCTTACTCTTACACGGGGCACAGCAACCGCGAGCTAAACTCGCCGCACGACACTGCTGCTGCTGTAGAGCGGCAAGACGAGCTTCTACACCGCGCGCGTGCGTGGAGAAGAGAGGGCGACATTCCGGCAGCAGTTGCTGCTTAGGTAAGCGATTCCCCTCCAGTTATATCTGGATGGTAGCGAAAGAAGGATGCATTGAGGGAACATTGCACGAACATTGTGTGTTGTGCAGTTGTGTAGACTACTCCTATGCATCTGTCCCCGTTGTGCGTGTGTGTGTTTTCGTCCTATTTACTATACAGAACCGGCCCGCACTTACTTCCGCCTCCTGCCTGTGCCATTTCCTCATGAACCATGCCGCCCTGTCCTCGACCTTGCTGTACCACACCTCCGGATCCTTGGTGCTCTCTTTCCATTTACCCCCTTCCTTTTCGTCTCCCATGTTGAAGGCCACGAGGTCCTCTCCTAGACGAGACAC